TCAGCTGCGTCGAGAAACACGAGCTGAACTTCTGTGCCGTAACCCATAGTGATATTTCTATTCACGTTACGTTCCGTGAGAGCTTTGAGTTACCCACGGTATAAACCGCTTCCTCCGATAATAAGATACTAATGGGTAGAAAATAATTATTTTACGCAATTTACGGGCGGGCTCTTCAGTCTTTTTTCGACTGATTCACGGATTTCCCATACACAGTAACGAACACCCGACAGCAAATGACTGAATGATCTGCAGTATCGTATAGTGTTTTCGCATCGTTAATTATAATCATTAAACGCATCAGTTTGATTTTCGACATTATTTGATTGAATTTTAACTTGTAAACTTACAACTTAATGAGTTCTAAACAAGATGATTTTTCTACAACGAATCATTTAACTGGCTGATGTACGGAACCTGTACTGATTGACGAACCTACCTCGTTTCAAAGTTCAAATGTTGTCTACCTAGCCGCATCTAACCCATTCTAACCGTACTACACGAAAAGCCATTATGATTTCTGCAATTGCCAGATAAGAAGACAGACATCCTATGCAATTGTACATAGGATTATTTCATTATAGTAAAACGAGTGCAAAAAAGAATATCAGCATATTCTGTATGAGGACAGGTTTAAATAGTTGTGTTACCGAACGGGATTCTCAGATGATCGAAAGACAACGAAGACGAAAATTTTGCATCATTGAATCTTGGACGAGTACAACCTTTGAGAATATTCGACACTATCGATAATACCTCGGGCATTATATAGGCGTTACCTCATCGCCCATTCATGGATGTATAGAAGAGCATGGGGCATTTTTCTATCGCCGACTACCTGTAGTTAATCAAGTAAAGCTGTTCCAATCGAAAATTCTACCTATATACTTGCAATATAGCTTTTCTTATTCGCATCAACTGCGTCACTTGGGTAACCTCATTAAGGAATCTACCTGCACACTCTAGTCACTCGACACGCAAAACGTACGTATTCTTGACGAAAAAGATTCTCACTAAAATCAAATAAACTCAGGGATCAGAGATCTCCGATGATATCAACAACAACAATAGCGAAACATTGAAAGCTATCGCGACACAGTCGAACATGGCAAGTTGCAGGCCATCGCTGAGACCGGCCATTACCTGAGGGTCGCTGCTATCGAGTGCGAATCCTGCTTGACTGACGATAGATTCGTCTTTATGGAAAAAGCTTCCCGGACTTTTAATGAGAAATGAGAGAGAGAGATTTTCGTGTTTATATGTGGTTTTCCTCACAATGATATGCTCAAGGTTTTTGCAGTTGGTGGCTTCTCCTCAGTGACTTCTTTCTTGATTGCATAGGCCTATTATTTAGACTTCTGGCGGAGTTGTCTCGAAAGCCTCAGATAACTTAAAAAAAAATCGCTTTGCTAAAATTGCTTGCGTACCTTGAGAAGACAGACCGAAGTAATCAAACTTACATTTATGCTATAGCTGGAAGCACGAAGGCCGTCGTTTCGTATACCCATAAAAGAAAAATAAATTCGTTATAATAATCATTGTCATCATCACTACAACCCATGCAACACTTTCACTCGTTTATTTTTTACGTTTTAATACGTTTGCCAGTTACCAGCAATTAGTACTGGATACTATCGATTTGTGAACCTTATGACTGTTGTGCGTTGAAATCGTCACAGCGACGTATACATCTAACACCCGCCACATATAATATATGGATATATTTAACAGTTTTCATTTCTATATAATTCCATGACAGTGCTGCGTGCACGCTATCCCTCGTACAGCTCTTAAATGGAACAAGTTGGGCATTGGGAAATAGAAACACAGCCAACTGCTTACTCTGTCCAAGCGAAACTTTATTTGTCTATCTCTATGGAGCTATTAACTCGATTGATTATATTCCACTGTTAGTTAGTGCTTAACATAAGCCGATAACTGAGAAACATTTTAGCTGAAATACCCATTGGTCGCTGGATTAAGGCTCGTGTAGGAAGTACCTCGACACATGCTAACTAAATAGACTGAACGTTTAATTCGAGCTAGTACGTAATACTAACATTGAATCTTATGCGGTGGTACAAAATGTTCTCAAGTCAAAATAGCGTCAAGAAAAAGTACAGTTCCCGATCTGGAGAATTGAGTTCTACGAATAGCATTATATACGGTCGATACTACATAACGTCGTCGAATCTATGAAGGATTGTTTGAGCTCGGTTTTTTTCTCAGTCGATATTGTTAGGTGTTGTCAAGTAGTGACGGCCATCTGATTACGCCAGGAACGTTGGGGTCTCATTGTTTACCCTGCTGTCTTACCTTTTGAGCCGACAAATCGTTTCATATTTTCTTAATGAATTAATAGATCAGTGGATCAATTCCAAAATAGAATTGAAAATAATTAGAATCTAAAAAAATTTTGTGGGCGAAAATCCTTACTTCGTATAAGCGACAGTCACATACGGTAATTTTTTCGAGGTCTAGATTTTTACATATTAGTTAGGTGGCAGTCATGATTATTTCATAGCGGTTCATTGACGTTTTTAAAAGCTCATCCATGGCTAAGGTTACTGGGCCTATTTACCGCTTCGGCAGCTTGTAGTTATGTCCTTGAACCGATCCGATGTTATACTGTTAACTATATGAAACAAAAGTTATGTTATATATATGAGGTAAATTGATCATCTTTTCATTTGTGAAACGCCGGGCTCCCTGTAAACCTATGCATGCAGCACGACGTTGGCCCTATATAAACTTTCATTAATGTGATTTTAAGTGAAGTTTATGATTTTTGGAAGATTCCATCTAAAAACGATTTCACACTGGCTCAACAGAGTTCCGTCCTTCTTCCGAGAACGTAAGCATTTGTATCGAGCTCAATCTAAAGTACGGCAGTAGGCGATTAGGAAAGGCTGGCGTATTTCTGCGGTGTAAATATCAGCTGTGCAAAAATAGTAATCGAGCTCAATAAATTGATTTACATTAAGGTGCAGGCGAAATACGAAATATATAATACAATACGAAACGACCGAATCCAGAACAGGAAATACTTCCTAATTGACACAAAGCGAGAACAAATAAGCTATAATAGGTGCTATTCTGTAGACGCTTTCGGAACGCTGAAGCCCTGGACGAAAAGAGACAAAAAGTCTCTTTTCGTCGAGGTGAAAGTTTTTATTACATTTATTTGTTTTGATCACACGAAAAAATTGGTAATTAACATTTTAATAAGACGTAATTAGCCGGTCTTACAAGAAGGAAATACCTCTAACTGCCAACGTTCCGGGCTACGTCTACTCATAGCCCACCAAGTAATTTCGATCGCTTTGATTAACCTATTATTACCTGTGGTAGAGAAGGCGGCGGATACGTATTGCCTTCTTGACATACCATGATCATATAAAGGCAGATGACCTTGATCAGACGCGAAGTGAGGCTGAACGTGATGATCAACAATAAGATTAACAGTGTGCTATATCACCAGCAAAAGGACAATGGTGTACGCTGAAAAATCTTCAGAAGACGAGCTTCTTTGGCCTTTAGGTAGGCTGGCTCAAATCTAAGTTGCATTTCAGTGCATGCTATTCCTTCCTATTTACAAAACCCAAGTTGAATATACAGGTAAGTTTACACTTGATTGGCTAGACATCCTTATATAGCGATATGTACGTATCCTAAATAACCCCTGAGATACATTAATTCGTTATCAGACCGCTTAAGGTCAAAGTATTAATACGTCCAATATATTTCTTACTATATTAAAATATACAGAAATTATCAATTCAAATATATATAGCTGATTTCAACCGGTTTGGTAAGTGCGAACACTGTATACTCAGTTCAAAGTGGCCCAGCTTATTGGACACATAATTTTATCTAAATAAATAAAACGATTTTATATAAATAAATAATAGGACTCAATAAATTCCTGCTAGCCCAGGTGCAATTTAGAGGTCGAACGCATCGGAAACGTGTTCTGGCTTCACTACAGAGTTGGCCAGACGGCGTTTGTCTCGTTCCTGCTACGCATATACGAGGACGATTCAACTATGATTTTTTCGTCAGAGAATAGATAAAGGTGATGGGACTCTTTCACTGCCCTTCTCCACGCCCTTTCTTCCTTTAAAGTTCCCTTTCCCGGTCGGCCGCGGACTCCAAGGAGCCCCGAGTAAACTTCCCTGTGAGCCATGTGCTTCGGGCTCGACTTCCCCTAGGCAGGAACGACGTTCGTAACCCTGTCCACTGTTGCTTCTACTCCTAAGCTGACCCTTAAGGCTATAGTTTTAATTGACAGTAGACTAGAGCGACGATTCTTCCACTTCGCTCAAAGGGCTATTTGCCCGCTTTGTTTCTACGTATCTCTAAAACAAAGAGGAGAGTCGAGCGTAACTGCTTTGCAAAGGACACAGCTACCGGGCGCACATTCGTTGTCCAGCAAACTTCAGTAAATGCCCTACACAAGCTGACATCAGTGAACTTTACAATCTTACATTCTACTGCACTATAGCTTTTACGCTATCTACCTTATCGTTCAGTAATGCTTGGCTAAGCAAGCGGTCAGAAATAGGCAAAGTACGGTGACTAACCTTGATGCAAAGGTGTAACTGGCCAATCATTTGCAAGTAGAATGATAATTTACTTACTACGTAATTGATTTTACAGGTAGATACGTGTTATCCGGACAGAACTCGGAGACACGAAGAGCTTGTTGTGAAATTTCCGAGAAAACCCCAGTGTTCCATTGTGATATCGCTCTCCTCTTAGCCGACAACCTCTTTTTGAATTGTGTGTGTCGCAGTGTAGAGTAGTGGTGAAGTTTTCGGAAGCTTTCTCCGATTTTTTGTACGGCAAATCATTTTCTAGTCAACATACCTGCCTGTCAAGAAAATAGTGAATGGATTCCAGCAACTGTTCGTTATTGTGGCTTAAGAACAATGCATACCGAAAGGATTAACCACTTGCGGAAGTTCTTTATCCTGTATTACTAAAATCTGAAACTTTTTTGAATTGATTAGTAAAAGACCATCAGTGCTACGAATGTACGATGGGCATCGCGTTTGTAACGTCCGAAGAAAAGATTAATCTGTGCAACTTTTCGAGTTCACTGTGTCCCACCTGCCGTTTCTTTGCTTAAAGCCGCTCTGAAGCTACCTGAAGTGTCTACTTTCATATGAGCGTTCTAGTACACCATATGGGTATACACTTCTTAATCCGAATGAATAATCGATCTCCTGAGAAAATAGATAAGCAAAGGCGCTTGAAGGGATAAGACTGATTCAACCGAGACGTAGTCAAAGGTTTTATGGTGCTATCAAACATACCTTGCCCGAAGGTCATCACTGCAGTTCTCTTAAAAGGGATTGAGCCTTGATACTGAAATTAAGTAGAGCTTTTTTCACCTAGTAATTGTTTTGTTCGGTAGAGTGTAGAGGAACTAGAATTTCTGGAGCTAATCCCTCAACGGATTTGAGAAGCTTTGAGTCTTCTAATAACCGGCTTAATTTTTTTTACCACTTCACTTATTGTGTCTCCCCAGCTGTCAATCCTCAGGGGGATTGCTAATTCACGAATCGATTGCCTCTTCCATTGCTCGCTTTAAATCCTTGTTAAGTGAACAGCTAGCTGTTCACAATGCTCGATAAGAATATTGTTATGAAACGCAAACGAAATCGCGATCCGAGCCGAAAAAAGGCCACCAAAACAGACAAATTATCAGAACAGCTTCGAATGGTCGACGTCGTCGACGGAAGGCAGCATTCGAGCTTCATCATGGAGCCAACGTTACCTGAGCTTAAGGACATCTCGGTGGAAAGCAATGAACATTCTCTAAACATCAGTGACGACTTGCTTAATCACCAGCAGACGCTATCACCTACTGCGGGCGGAGTAGTGATGACCTTAGCCAGCACACATCGACCCGCAGAAGAACATGATAAAGCTTTCGTACAAGACCTGAAACAGACGGATCCGGACATGTTTGTTGGCGATGTTTTCAATCAAGGTTAGCAGATATTTAATTGTTTCTTTACTGCTTTTTTTTCACATACAGTATACGCATTCATTCATACAGAGACAGCATCCTGAAGCTTGGTTCTGAACAGTGTTTATCCGCTACTGTTTATTATGGAGCTTCATTGTTATATAAATGCTAAGCGGTAAGTATGTACGAATTGCGAATACATAAATTGATTCAACTATTCGACGCAATGGTGTGCGACGCTTCTATTGGCCTATAGGGAAAAAATTCAGGCTGCAGTTAGTTTATTCCTTGTTCTGTCCTAGGCCAATGGCTGTGCTCTAGTAAGGCTACGTTAGGTTAATTCAATTTCCAACAATAGGTGGAGTAGTAGTTGTCACCAACATCGCAGATGTCGCTACATCTGATGTATTGTTGAGGAAGAAGACTAAGCTATGTCGCATTGGATAATACACATGTAGGTATTATCTGTTACACGAGGTAAATAGAATCTCAGAATCTATGAGCGTAGGATATCTATCTGCAGCTTCGTATGCCTCGATAGATATATGTTGATAATAATTATATTGACGACGATATAAAGACCAGTGGGCCAAGTAGAGCGATACAGGCTTAAAGGTCGAGCAATCTTCTCGTTTCCAATACGAAATCGAATAAGAACTTACACACCACAAAAGTAACTTGGATAAAACTACAATAGAAATTAGTATAATAGAAAGCACAATAGACGAGGGTCGTAGAGACACCAGGCTCAGAAGCGTTCGTTTAGATAGTAGTGTTTTTAAGTGTAAATGGCGCAGAGATGTATAGTCTCCAACAAATACTTATTAAATTAAATGGCTACGTGCTTAGAGGGGCAATACCTGCATAATTAACAAGCCAATCTAAACAAAATGATATACTATATGAGAAAACTTTAGAATTCACTTTTCGCACTTAAGCAAAACACGAAAGACGAATAGCGCGATATTGTTCTGGTTACGTTTATACACATAATCTTTGAAGAGGTAATACAGACCATATTTTTATCTCCAAGTATTTCGATTATAAGAAAATTAAATTGAGAACTATGACGTTTGTGAGATTTGTTGGTGGAAACGGCAGAGCAGCTGTCTGAAGTCTCTTAGCGTCTGGGTTAGAATTATGTAATTTTATCTCTCGTTTTTCCTATGCCGTCGTCCGTCTATTAATAAATCTGACTTCTCTCGTTCTTAGCAGGATTAGCCATAGCTTTGCGACGAATACTACACCGATGTGTTCATAAACGGAAGTCCCCGTGTTTATTCAATGGTATCAATATGCCCGCTCACGAACCTTCGGCAGGTTACATCGTTTGCTAATCTGTTGTTGTCTAGGTTAGAACCTGGGCATAGACAGACTTCATTTGGCGCTAGGAGCCACCCGGGTGATGTGACTTCTAAAGGAAGTTCTGGTCATAAGCCCTAAAGAATTTGATAGACGTTGCATTTCTACAGAGGTACGAGCGTTTCAATAAGTATAAATTAGAAATGTGAAGATCTTGCCTTGAATCTCTAAGCAGCGTGGAAATGTCTACTACGTAACTTTTTGTCTGATTACCTGTACACATTGTAACCCTACAAATATTATAATATGAATGAATTAGTAATTACACGTCTTTGGCTATGTAAACACGGAGCTGGTAATTGTGAAACGCTCAATTTTGCCAGTTAGTAGGAGAATTGATGACAGCAGTAAGGCTGCTAGCGACGGGCGGGGGCAACCGTAGGAGAGTTGACTGAACCGCTGGCTCATTAGGAATCGCCCCCTGCGGTTTTCGATGGAAGGGAGCCCATGCAACAGGCTGAGGAGCACGAGTGACTTACGGAGGAACGGAAATAGTCACTGAACCAGGTCGTACGCACCTTGATATTTGTAACAAGTGGCCTGTACTTCATTTGACTTTAAGCCCGGTACAGGGCAGGTGCAGGAAAAGCTGTAAGAACACTGCTATCCAAAGGAAGGAAGTTCACTGGAAAAAATATTTCTATTGCTACAAAAGGGCTGGTGAAACGTTCAGTCAGGGCCAAACGATTCCTACTAGGGGAGCTGGGTATGTAGCTCGAGTGTGTAGTTTTCTTGGGCAGCGTTCGAAGAACAGGGAGATTAATGCCTTTTACTAATTTTCTAACCGCGGTGAGGTTGGCTTCGTATGCAGAGCTAGTCCAGGTGGTTCGAGACTATCTACTGGAAGAACCTGGCACTTATAGGTGTGTTATGTTAAAACTCTGCGGCTGGACAACGAGAGTGCGGTACAAACCTTGGACCAGCCTGTAGTGTCGTCATATAGAAGTTACATCAAGGCAAGGCCAATCAGGCCCTAGATTCATTGGCACTGTGACGCTTGAGGGCAGCAAAGTGGACCCGCCCACTTATATATCTATCGTCAAAAGTACAATGCTTAGTGCATCAATTATGGCGTATCAGTGGACTAGTTGGTAGCGGCATTATGGCAAAGGAGAGAGCATGCATGGGTTGATTCTCAAGGACGGTACATTATGTCAGGCCAATCGGCAGGACTAGTCGTGATCCTAAACGATCATGACCAGTCCTGCTAAAATCAAGCAAGGTTTCGGTGCTTCCAATTTCCCATCCATGTCGCGCTAATGTAAATAGAACTATATGTCGACTGATGGCACGCTATTTTCCGGATAGGGGGTCTGGTCTAGAGTACATGCATAGGTGCGTAGGTGTGACCTGTGCCGGCGTGTCAATGAAAACCAAGAAAGTAACTTCCATAAATAGGTAAATCCATCGGCAAAAGATCTGCGAGTCCATTGTTCGACGCGGGTGAACACCTATCCTTTTGGGCAGCTAGAACTGCTACAATCAGTGCCCTTCACTGTTACATTCACGCGATATTTTTAAGTACGGAGGAGACCCTGTTGTGTCATCTCGTACTTGCCAGGTATTCAAACAAGATCACCTCGACAGCACCGAAGGCTAATAGTTATGCCACACGCTAGTGAGCTTTGGAAAAAATAGTCTCGCCTAACACGCGGTTCTATAGTATGTGGGATATTTCACCCGATAAGCGTGGCCAGGATGTAATAGTGCAAACACTGCACTACAGCATGTGAATGAATGAATTTGCTCGCGATACATCACTTGCAACGATGACAAAAAAAAATCTTCATTCATTGCTGAGTTAGGAAGTCTAAAATTTCAATGTACATGTTCTTAAAGGTAAAATGATCAGCAACGTATCCAAGCACACTTTTAGGCACACACCTACTGGACATGAGATGAGTATCATACCATTAACGATAGCCGTTCAATTACACAGGTTAGTATAAAAACTATCGACCATATTGCTTCACACGAAACATACTATTATGCTTGCTTACATACATCGCGTGGCATGCGTCCCTGTATCTATTCTACAAGACCAAAAAGCATCATCAAAAAATGATCGTCTAATTTCTGTTACCTAACATCTCTGTTAGAAATTAATGAATACGCCTCTGTGTGTTTCTTCTCCTTTCCAACGATCTGCACGGCCCAGCCTACAATGAACAATAAGTCATGGCCATGCAGGACTCTTGAGCATCCGGAAGCTGTTCAGTAATTTGTATCGAAACTGTTGTTTCCCTCATTGTTATTGTCTGAATATTCCTAAGCTAAGGCTTTCTAAGAATGGGAAAAAAACGAAAGCATATAAACAACAAGCGAAATCTACGGATGATTGTCGTTAGAATCAATTTTTCGCGTACCGACTATACGCGAGGTTTTCTAAATCTGTCGCTTACAAAATGGCGTTGTTGTTAGCTTATAAAGATACTATGTGGGTGCTATGCACAATGAGAAATTACAGCTCATTCGAGACTTGCCGTCTTAATTTACTGTAGCTCTTATTTGCAAAATATAGAAAACAGGGTGGTAGAAAAAAAGTCGATTCGAGAGTAACAACTGTCCATTTTCGCATATTGTGATAATAGTTATCTTGATGCGGATTACTAAGCCCTTTGAACTGTCAGGTTATCTAATCTATACAGAGTAAGCTTTCTCTGAGACAACAAAGAAAACAAATATTGAAAAACCAAATCATAGAGGTCTGCAAAAGGCCAGAAGATGAACTAACCGATTTGGCTTACTAGTCTATATCTAATTCGGGTGACCCTAGACAAAGCATAAAAAGTTACTATGACACTGTATAATACAGTATTATATCTTGTCATTTGCATATATGAGCTTATTTCCTCAACGCAGTAGCTTATTTTAACATAAGTATACGTTTTGAACAATCGAACGTTACAAGTTGGGAGATTTAAAGGAAATCGATTTGTTCAGGGTACTGCGATCTTACTAAGATTTAATGGCGTAACTTGTTCACTAGCAAGATTACGAACTCACTATCAAAGGCTAAAAAAAAATACATTTAAGGAAAAAAAATAGTAACTCAGTTGAACGTAGCCCAAAAAAAGATGTGGGGTTAAAAATCGACACAATCAGGTAGTCTCGACTCTAAATACTCTTGTAAAGTAGGACCGGTTGGCATTAAGCTACGAGCTTTTGACCCTGGAAAGTTAACAAAGCTGGTACAGTTTCCTGAAGCTTATTCCGAAGTACGCAGATCTCAGAAGTGCTCGGTTAAGAACGCATGTACTCGAAAACCGTGCGTAGAGTTAACACGGCGCCCTGATATTCTTGTTGTGCTGTCTACCTTGCATATACTTTACTGCAACATATCAAATTGATTTACACATTGTTCACACAATACAGCAAGGTTTGTTGTGTAACCAACATAACAAAGTTGCACAAATATCCCATTGTTTCAAATGAAGACATTTATGAGCTATATATTCATGCGGTGGTCATCTGACTAATCTGCCTGATTATACGTCCTTAATTAAGTAGGAGGTATCCATCAGCTTTCAGCGCATTCGCTTCAAAATAAACAAATAACCAACAAAAACTTTCTTCGTGAATGTAAAGTAGGTCTTCATCAATGCCTAAATTAAAGTTTAGGAACTTACTGACCTTGAATGCCTAAAGACGAGACATTC